TTTTCTTCCTCTTTCTTTCTCTCACTTTCCCATGGGCAGCGATGGGAAAGAGGCGGTAATGGGAAACAAGTGGGCGGTGATGGGAAGTAGGTGTGCGGCGGTGATGGGAACTAAGTGGGCGGCGGTGATGGGAACTAAGTGGGCGGGGGTGATGGGAACTAAGTGGGTGGGGGTGATGGGAACTAAGTGGGCGGTGGTGATGGGAACTGAGTGGGCGGTGGTTATGGGAACTAAGTGGGTGGGGGTGATGGGAACTAAACGAGCGGGGCTGATGGGAACTAAACGAGCGGGGGTGATGGGAACTAAGTGGGCGGGGGTGATGGGAACTAAGTGGGCGTGAGAGGAACATACTGCTCGAGGTATAATAGTGGCTTGGACGCACCTCTTACCCTTCCCTTAGTGGCGTTCCGCTGGGTGGTTTATGGCGCACTGGTAACTATTATGGTTATGGTGGTGCCACTACGTTCGGCTCTGGCACTACATCATGGTCCTGGCACTGCATCATGGTCCTGGCACTGCATCACGGTTCTGGCACTGCATCATGGTCCTGACACTGCATCATGGTCCTGGCACTGCATCATGGTCCTGGCACTGCATCATGGTCCTGGTACTGCATCATGGTCCTGACACTGCATCATGGCCCTGGCACTACATCATGGTCCTGGCACTGCATCATGGTCCTGGCACTGCATCACGGTTCTGGCACTGCATCACGGTCCTGGCTACCGTACCGCGGTCCTGGCACTGCATCATGGTCCTGGCACTGCATCATGGTCCTTGGCACGGCATCATGGTCCTGACACTGCATCATGGCCCTGGCACTACATCGCGGTCCTGGCACTGCATCATTGGTTCTTGGCATTGCATCATGGTCCTGACACCGCATCACGGTCCTGGACACTGCATCACGGTTCTGGGCACGCATCACGGTCCTGACACTGCATCGGCGGTCCGGCACTGCATCATGGTCCCGGCACTGCATCATGGCCCTGGTATCGCATCATGGTCCCGGATTAACGCATCAGCGGCCCTGGCACTGCCATCATGGTCCTGGCACTGCATCATGGTCCTGGCACCGCATCAGCGGCCCCGGTACTGCACGGTCTCCTCACACCGTACCGCGCCTGGCTCTGCATCAAGTGTCCTGGCACTGCATCATGGCCCCGCACCGCATCATGGTCCTGACATCGCATCATGGCCCCTGGCACTGCATCAGCGGTCCTGGCACTGCATCATGGTCTTTGGTACCGCATCATGGTCCTGACACTGCATCAAGGCGGCCCTGGCACTGCATCATGGTCCTGACACTGCATCATGGCCCTGGCACTACATCATGGTCCTGGCACTGCATCATGGTCCTGGCACTGCATCATGGCCCTGGTACTGCATCATGGTCCTGACACTGCATCATGGCCCTGGCACTGCATCATGGTCCTGGCACTGCATCATGGCCCTGGCACTGCATCATGGTCCTGACACTGCATCATGGCCCTGGCACTGCATCATGGTCCTGGCACTGCATCATGGCCTTGGTACTGCATAATGGTCCTGGCACTCCATCATGGCTCTGGCACTGCATCATGGCCCTGGCACTGCATCATGGCCTTGCCCCACATAGGAGTGACAGTGAATTTTGATCTTGCCTATAAAATTCCAGGCCACCATTAACATATTTTCTCGTACGTCGGAAAAACTATACAGCGTACACGTCTTAGGATTTTCCGTAAAATTTCATGTTGGTGCTTTTAGAGAGAGAGAGAGAGAGAGAGAGAGAGAGAGAGAGAGAGAGAGAGAGAGTCTGCAAGGACGGGCCAGCCAATATCATGTGTACAAACTTCCGTCCTTGTGAACTGCTCTTCCTCAACAAGCTAAACAACCATCACGCTTGTTACACCTTAAGCTTCGCTCCCTTGCCGGTGTTTGGCCCTATATAATGAGAACGGGCTGGTTTACCCGAGACCTGAGTCTACATTGGAGCTCTGAGGTAAAAAGTCGCCTTTGAGCTCTGAGGGAGGGAGGATCGACTAGATATTGGCTCTCCAGACTCAAAAAAACCAAGATATGAGTAAGCACTGCTGGTAATCGGAGTTTGACGATGACCCAATCAGGTCGTTGCCACGACTCAACGCTAGTAAAGAGTTTGCTTGGCTGACAACAGACAGACATTCAGGTCGTGCTGGAGGTGACCCCGAATGGTGTAACCGAGATTAAGAAGACCAGTTAAATCCATCATAATAAAATCCCCAATGTTACGGCCGTAATGACCACTGTAGTCGACGGCCAGTAAAAACTAAAGAAGTTTCTACCAGGGTGTCGCATCACTGGTGTGTTGTGGACCTGAGCAGCCAACTGAGTACTAAAACGTTATTTTCTAGTCTGGTATCACTCTCATTATGTCGGGCCTTACTCCTATGTGGTGTTGTGTTTAATGTTGAGTTTTGGCCCCAGTTCTATATCGGGTGTTGTACTGTTAGTTATATTTACCGAGTTAACATGTTAAGTTCGTAACCATTCTTGGGTCACGGTTTGTTAGTCTATAAATCATTGTTTAAGTTAATAATAATTACTTTTATGTTTTTCTTCTTTCTTGAGTCGCCTTCTCGGTGTTATGATAACTTACTCTGGTGCTGCCATGATAATCTCACCTAACCTGAATCGGCAGCCAACTAAATTGGTTGGTTTACTCTTTACTTCACAAGTCTAACGCTCAACTGAAAGCATTTTCGGAATAAGTCAGCAGAACTTGTTTGGTTTAATATACTTTGTTGGGGTATTTGGTATTATTTTTAATGAAATCAATCCCTTGACGATTCTGGCTTCAAAATAACTTCACAAATGACTCCAGGCCGTAACGCTTTACACGAGAAACACAAACTCTAAAACCTTGACACACAATAAACTACAAATTCTGAAAAACCTTGCAGGAAAAAAACCTATTCATAAAAGCTTGCATAAAAAAATTCCAAATGTTAAAAACCTTACCTAAAAAAGCCAGAAAAATTAAAAACCTCCAATCATAGGAAAAAATGGCATCTAAAATTGCATAAAAAAATAATATCCTCATCTTGTTGCGAAAAAAACTACAAAATCATAAAAAAACAAATATGAAACAAGATAGAATTACTAAAAAAAACAGAAATCTTAAAAAAAAATCACACAATTACATTCTTAAAACCCTTAACACAAACCCCCTAAAAATTCTTTAAAAAAAACTATACATGAACAAAAACCTTACAGAAAAAAACCTAAAATTCATAAAAGCCTCAACACCAAAGACGAAAAAAACCCAACATTCTAAAATCCTACAAAAGGACCCCTGAGGAAAATACCCCAACCCCAGGACCCCAGAGGAAAATACCCCAAACCCCAGGACCCCAGAGGAAAATACCCCAAACCCCACGACCCGAGGAAAATACCCCAAACCCCAGGACCCCAGAGGAAAATACCCCAAACCCCAGGAACCCAGAGGAAAATACCCCAAACCCCACGACCCGAGGAAAATACCCCAAACCCCAGGACCCCAGAGGAAAATAGCCCAAACCCCAGGACCTGAGGAAAATACTCCCAAACCCCAGACCCCAGAGGAAAAATACAATTCCCCAAACCCCAGGATCCCAGAGAGGAAAAATACCCCAAACCCCAGGACCCTAGAGGAAAATAATTCCCAAACCCCAGGACCCCAAGAGAAAATACCTCAAACCCCACGACCCCTGAGAGGAAAATACCAAATCCCACGACCCAGAGGAAAATACCCAAACCCCAGGACCGAGGAAAATACCCCAAACCCCAGGACCCCAGAGGGCACACCCCAAACCCCAGGACCCCAGAGGAAAATACCCCAAACCCCAGGAACCCAGAGGAAAATACCCCAAACCCCACGACCCGAGGAAAATACCCCAAACCCCAGGACCCCAGAGGAAAATACCCCAAACCCCAGGACCCCAGAGGAAAATACCCCAAACCCCAGCATCTCAGAGGAAAAATAAATACCCCAAACCCCAGGAACCCAGAGGAAAATACCCCAAACCCCACGACCCGAGGAAAATACCCCAAACCCCAGGACCCCAGAGGAAAATACCCCAAACCCCAGGACCCCAGAGGAAAATACCCCAAACCCCAGGACCCTAGAGGAAGTAAACACGGGAATAATACACCAATAATTCGAGTCTTTCACCTGTCCATGTTTTAGTACGAACAGGTAAAGAGCCATTCTGGAATAAGGTCTCTTGTACGATGACCCCATAACCGTCAAGGACCACTGTGATGCCTCCTTCTGTAGGATCTATGGGTACAGGAGGAGGAGGAGGTAGTGTGGTGGAGAGGGGGAGGACGAACGAGGGGGGGGGGGAGAATAATAAAGGGTGGAAGGGAAGGAGGACACGGTGATGGTGAAGGAAAGAGCGAGTAAAGGGGAGGAGAGATGGGAAGGAGCAGGAGTGAGGGGGAATAGTGAGGAGAAGGAGGAATTGGGGGGGGGGATAAGAAGGAGGAAAGATGGTGAAGAAGGAGGAGGAGGGATTTTAGGGTTAATAAGAGGAGGTGTTAAGTTGGGTGTGTGTGTGTGTGAATGCTAATAGTTCTCCTGGATATTGTCTAGGTTAAGCGAGATATCAGAATCACCACCAACATTACCACCACTACAACCATCACCACCACAAGAACTACCACCACTACCAGCACCACTACAACAACTACTACCCCCACCATTACAACAACTACCACCACCAACACCACCACCACCACTACAACTACAACCATCTCCGCCACTACAACAACTACAACCACCACTACCACCACTACAACAACTACCACCATCAGGGCCACCACGAGCCTCAGGAAAAAAACCGAGAGATCAATCAGATTATGGCGTCACTGTAATGTTGTTACTGGAGTCTAGAGGCGCAGTAAAGGCTCCCCGTCTCCCCGCCCATGTTACTTTAAAGATGGCTTGCTAGTTTAAGAGGTAGAGGTAGGGGGGAGGGGTGAGGGAGTAGGGTGAGGGAGGGAGTAGGGAGTGAGAGAGGTGGCGAGAGAAAGGTAAGAAGTAAGGGAGAGGGTAAGGGAGAGTTTAGAGGCAAGGGGTGAGGGAGAGGTAAGAGGTAGGGGGTGAGGGAGAGGTTAGAGGTAGGTAGCGGTTAGAGGTTGGGGTGAGGGAGAGGTAAGAGGTAGGGGGTGAGGGAGAGGTAAGATGTAGGGGTGAGGGAGAGGTTAGAGGTAGGGGGGGTGAGGGAGAGGTAGGGGGTGAGGGAGAGGTAAGAGGTAGGGGTGAGGGAGAGGTTAGAGGTAAGGGGTGAGGGACCTGATTAAGAGAGAGGGAAGGGAGACGTTTAAGGGAAAGGTGGGAGGTGTGGGGGGGGGGGTTAGGGGACTAAGGGAGAACATGTGGCACCTATTGGCACATCAAGAAGAACATATCAAGAACAAGGAGAACAGAACAGCGAGAATATGTGGCACCTGTTGGCACCTCAAGAAGAACATATCAAGAACAAGGAGAATAGGACAGCGAGATTATGTGGCACCTGTTGGCAACTTAAGAAGAACATATCAAGAACAGGAGAACAGAACAGCGAGAATATGTGGCACCTGTTGGCACCTCAAGAAGAACATATCAAGAACAAGGAGAATAGGACAGCGAGATTATGTGGCACCTGTTGGCAACTTAAGAAGAACATATCAAGAACAGGAGAACAGAACAGCGAGAATATGTGGCACCTGTTGGCACCTCAAGAAGAACATATCAAGAACAAGGAGAATAGGACAGCGAGATTATGTGGCACCTGTTGGCAACTTAAGAAGAACATATCAAGAACAGGAGAACAGAACAGCGAGAATATGTGGCACCTGTTGGCACCTCAAGAAGAACATATCAAGAACAAGGAGAATAGGACAGCGAGATTATGTGGCACCTGTTGGCAACTTAAGAAGAACATATCAAGAACAGGAGAACAGAACAGCGAGAATATGTGGCACCTGTTGGCACCTCAAGAAGAACATATCAAGAACAAGGAGAATAGGACAGCGAGATTATGTGGCACCTGTTGGCAACTTAAGAAGAACATATCAAGAACAGGAGAACAGAACAGCGAGAATATGTGGCACCTGTTGGCACCTCAAGAAGAACATATCAAGAACAAGGAGAACAGAACAGCAAGAATATGTGGCACCTGGGTTACACCCCTCAAGAAGAACATATCAAGAACAGGGGAACAGAACAGCAAGAATATGTGCACCTGTTAAGGAACCTTCAAGAGTAGAACATAAACTGAGGTACAAACGACCTGCCTCACGCCCCGCCTGCGCCTCCTTCTAGAGCCAGGTGACGTTAACAGTCCTAAACACGTCAGGGATCTCTTCGTCAGGTAAATATGGCCCTTAAATACGTCAGGGACCTCTTCGTCAGGTAAATATGGCCCTTAAATACGTCAGGGACCTCTTTGTATGGTTAATATGGCCCTTAAATACGTCAGGAACCTCTTTGTAAGGATAATATGGCCCTTAATTACGGCAAGGACCTCTTTGTAAGATTAATATGGCCCTTAAATACGCCAAGGACCTCTTTGTTACGTTAATGGGGGCTTTAAGGACCCTGTTAAAGTCACGTGGAGGACCCTGACGTGTTTACACAAGTTAGGGTCCCAGGGCTTATTACCAATAGACCCATTAAATTCCCGGGGCCCTAGTATGGCCACAAATCATTTGGTATATCTAGAATGTACTGTATATAGCGGGGCCACAGAGAGAAGCGATGATGTTGCATATAACTGTTGACGTCTAATTCTAAATGATGACGTCATGTATATAATGACGTCATACATGTAATCAGCTGTCGCGTATAACTGATGATGTCGAACTATACTTTATGACGTCACACATATAAACAATGATGACACATGCAAACAAATTACATCATCGAAGCAGAAAATGACCCTCGTGTTCGTAAACTATGCCGTAACACATGTAAACAATAACAATATGGACGAAAACAATGACGCAACGCAAGTAATCAGTGACATCATAGACGCAGATAGTGACGTCAAACAACAAAAACTTAAAGCTCAGACAATGACGCAACGCAACCAGGACGTAAACATAGCCGCCAGGGATGCAGACAATCACATGGGAGAAGCAGACAGTAACAAACAAGCCTGCAGACAACGAAGCGTAAATCAGGGGAGGGGGAGGAAGGATGATAAAGAGGAGGGAGGAGAGAGAGAGGGAGGGTGAATATATCTTCACCTGCAGCGTGTAATTAAAAAGAAGAAATGTATGATTTATGGGCGAGCTGTGAGGAGCTTATGATGGCCCTCTGTCTCTATTATTGTTCTCTCTCTCTCTCTCTCTCTCTCTCTCTCTCTCTCTCTCTCTCTCTCTCTCTCTCTCTCTTATTGTCTTTGAAAAGTTTATATTATTATTATCATCATCAGTCATTAAGTGAAATCATAATTATCGCCCAACTCTCAACACAATTAAAGAATTTATCACTATTTTCTCGTATCGTATTAAGTCAGAAAAATAACACGTATCATAAAAAAAACCTAAAGGTACAATAAAAATAAAATCACGTAAAACTTCCCGAGTCTCTGATTCCGGTGTTCTGACGGAGCCCAAAGAATTATCGTAACGACATCATTGCCAATCAGAAGTTCTACCAACAACATGATAATCCAATTCCCTAACTTGCTGGTGCCTATAAGGGACGTGGTAACACTGTCTTTCTCAGCTTGGTATCTCCTTAATGATGGTCTTTGTCTCTCTGTCTGTCTGTTTGTCTGTCTGTCTCTCTGATTTCTGTCTTTGAGATAATGAAATATGTGAAATGACAATACTTAATACATCTAATACACATAACACCTGGTTTACCTGACACACCTGATCAATACACACGACACACCTGATCAATACACACGACACACCTGATCAATACACACGACACACCTGATCAATACACACGACACACCTGCCCAACGAGATATAAGTAAATACATTCATAATTATATTCTATACCATAAATTTTACGTTAATTTTTATCACCTGTTTCACTATACAGGAGATTTATATACCCATTCACTCTCTACCATGGCATGTACTGTATACTCGTAACTATATAAGGGTATAAGTATACAAGTGTATAAGTGTATAACTATATAAATTCATAACTATATAAGTATGTGTATAATTATATAACACTATACAGTATATTAGTCACACTTGGGCCATAATAAATTTCCTCTTCACCCCAAGATCTTCTTTTCCTCCTTCACTCCTCCTCCGACCTCCTTCCGTCTTTCCGTCCGTCCGTCACCAATTAATCTAATCACTCCTTCCTGGTGACGAATATCCGGGTCGAGTCCACTGGCAGTACACCAGCAGACTCATTAAGGTCGGAACGTTCAGACCAAGGACATCCGACGCTCGCCCCTATCGCAGTGTGTGGCTTAGCACTACGTACCCCCCTTGACTAATGATCTCTGAAATTGATTGCTTAAAAAGAAAGGAGATTGATAAAGGACGTTGTTGAGGAAGTTTGTCAAGAGAGTCCTTCAGTCTTGTCCTGATGGAGGAAAATGGTATCCTGCACAATATCCTACGGCAGAGGATGACACGTGACGCAACTACGCCATCCTATTTTTCCCCTTTTAATAGAGGAAACATGACGTCACCAATGTGTATGTGGGGTTGATACATGACGTCACCAATGTGTACAACGTCACTAAATTCTATGACGTTACAGGTCAGCTTACTAAACACCATACTCTTACTTTTGACCCAAACATGACCTCCTCCCTCCACAACTTGACCACCACATTCCCCCTCCAACCTCCACCTCCCATAAGCATTCCTCCCAGCATAACCAACTTCTTCACCCTCTTCTAACCTCCCCTCCCACCTCCTCTAACCTTCCACCAACCTCCCCTCCCTCCCATAAACTTTCCTACCAACATAACCTCCTTCTCCTCCCTCCTCTAACCTCCCCTCCCCCCACCTC